TCCATCCCGGTGTCCCGGGGGCTGCCTTGTCCTTGCACGGGGTCTGCCTCGTCCATCCCAGTGTCCCGGGGGCTGCCTTGTCCTTGCCCGTGTCCTCGCGTGCGCCCTCGCTGGCCCCGTGCGAGCCGCGCTCCCGCTCCCCATCCTCCCCACACACACTCCTCTTTCCACAGTGAACGGGCTCCAGGCCCGGACCTTCGGCATCTGGACGCTGCTGTCGTCGGTGATTCGCTGCCTCTGCGCCATCGACATCCGCAACACGACGTACGTGAGGAGCGGGAGAGCAGTGCTCGGGAGAGCAGTGCTCGCGTTTGCCTGCCGGTCCCTGCTCAACCCTTGCCCTGGAGGGCGGCTCGGGAGCAGTGTGGAGTCAGAAGCTGCTCCTGAGCGTTCCCTGCGGTTCAGAGTGTTCCCCTGGAAAGCCCTTACTGGGCAGCAGGGGATCCGTGTGTGACCCGCTGCTCCCCGGAGGGTGGACCTGCCCCTTTGAGCTCTCCTGCTCAGCAGAGGCAGAAGTTGATGGTCTGAGCACTCTCCGTGCCCCAGGCTCCTGAGCTGCGCTGTGCAGACCTTCTGCTGGCGGTGCCATTGCTGCGGCAGGGATGAGATCAGGCTGCTTCTTGGCACCTCTGCTCTGTGACAGCTCGGCCCAAGACCACGCAGCAGGTCGAGAGGTCCCTGGCAGTGGGTGTAAGAGCACAGGGAGGAAGGCAGTGGCTGCCTGGGGATGAGGATGGTGCCATCCCTGGCCTGAGGTGCCCTCTGCTCCTGTAGGGAATTCCAAGCAGCCCAGCTCTGCGGCTGTGCTAGCAAAGCCTCTGCTAGAGGTTGCTAGAACCTGCTGTTAATGCTTCCTGCAGTATCCGTGACTATAATCCCATCTCTTGGGAGCCATGCTGGCCTGATAAACGTTATCTTCCTCTCCCTGCCCTCCCAGGCTCGTATCCAGAAGGCCTCAGGAGAGTATTCTCCATGCAGCAAAATTATTATGCCCCTGGCTGCAGGTTCTTGAATTGAGTAGGTTTGTCTGTGGTGACGGGTAGAGGTACTCGAGTTACTTGTATGGCTGTGGCGCAGGGCATGGAGGCAGTGCCAGTTACCTTGAAGCTGTTTCTTTAAAGGATTTTTATCTCGGAGCTCTTGGACCCGCTCCCTTTTTGCAGCTCAGGCCCCTAGAGGGTGGCAGGGGCCGGGCAGGAAGAGCTCCAGGGTGCCACAGCCTGGGAAGTGCTGCCCGGGTACGGGGCGCTCGCTGCCCTCCTCCCTCCAGCTCTGGCCTCCCTTCTGTGTGTGCACACACTGCTTAGCTCACGTGCGCCCTGCTCTTGCTTCGCCCACTTTATTGACATTCAGAGCAGAGACTGGCTGTGACGTTTAGTTCTGCTTTCAGCTCTTGCCCAGGGATTTTTGGACTTCGCTAGGCCAGCAAACAAGTTCCATTTTTTCCCGCAGAGCAGCTTCCCTCTTTGATAAGAGTGTCTGCATAATTCCAGGAACCTGGATGTCACCTGGGCATCTGTTTTAAGGGAATGTTTGTTAAATTCCCTCTGTCTTCAGAGCCCCTTAAGCATTAAGTGCATGAAACCTTTCTGGCTTAGTGCTGGGCCTTGGCGTCACTGGTCTCCCAGCCTTACCCACCTGTGGCATGTCTCATCTACCTCACGCCCTCAGGACTCTGCTATCCACTTTGATTGCCTGAAGAAGTGCCCGTCTTCTTCAAAGAACTGCTGGTAAAACACTATGTTATGAGAGGGTGATCTGGATCATGCATAGAACTACATCACAGCCATCCCTAAAAACAGTGCTGAGCCCAAGAAATGCTGGACTCCTCTGGCAAAGCAGAGTAGCAGCTTTGTTGGGTGGACTTTTCTGACTGCCCTCTTCACTGCTATAGTGAGGACAGATGGGGCAGAAGATGGGTTTACTTCTTTTCTGCTCTGCCATTCACCTGCCCATGCGATGGGCTTTATCACAGAATGGTTGAGGTTGGAAGGGACATCTAGAGATCATCTAGTCCAACCCCCCTGCACCGTCAGGGACATCCAGAGCACAGGGCATTTATGGTAACGCTTCTTTCTGCTCTCCAACAGCCTCTATTACATCACCCTCTTCACCTTCTTCATGGCCCTTGTTCACTTCCTCTCCGAAGTCTTCATTTACCACACCGCGGCCTTGACCATTGGAGTCATGGCACCCCTCATGGTAGCCAGTAAGTAGAGCTCTGCATGTCCCCCAACCTTGCTCTGGAATCATGAGCTGGGAAGACAATGGTGGGGAGAGGTGGGAATGTCTCCTCTCATTTCCAGCATTTTTTACATAACTCATTCTGCATTTGTCACAGGTTTCTCCATCCTGGGGATGCTGATTGGGCTGCAGTACTTGGAAGTAGAAGCAGTGTCAGAAAACAAGAAGAAGAACTGAAGGTGAAGGCCTGGTGTAGGTCAGTGTCGTCTCCTGTTTCACTGCCAACCTCCCCCTGAAGCGCAGCTGCGGCTTTACCAGGGCTCCTGTCCCACTGGCACAGCACTGTCGGACTCTCTGTCAATCATTCGTTCTCATGTGTTTTTCTCTCATGCAGACAATATTTGAGCTGGCCGCTGTCAAATGTCAGGTTCTAAAGGAGTTTGTGTCAGAGCCTGCTGGGGCATTGGGTGAGGTCTCTCCCCTAGGATAACAGGGCGCCTCGGGCATGTCCCCCACAGTAAGGACTTCCTTCATGGGGATCTGGGGATGACTGGGGATCTGACCCAGGATCCCCTGAATTCCTGCCAGGAAAAAGAGCGTGTGCTGCCCCTGGCACTGTTGCGTAACTTGCATGGGGGCCGTTTCTAATAAATGACACAAAACTGCAGGTAAATTATGGCTGTTTCTTTGCTACACAGCAGTGAGGAAGAGCATATAGAAATTAGGGGGCAGTTCTGCTTCATATTGAAGCACATCAGTGGTCTCTCCTTACAGCAAACCCACCTCTCCCTGACTCCCAGCACCAGGTTTAACTGCTCACATCACACAGGCAAGTGAAGAGAGGTGTTGTAGATCCCCAATTCCCCAGCTTATTAGCGACAGCAAACCAGATGCCTCTGTGAGCAAGGACTGAGCTACCTTTGCAGTTGCCTATGACTACAGACAGGAGGGAAGAAATAGGAACAGACTGCAGCAACCTTGATGAAATAATATTCCAAACAGATGGGCAGCACAGAAAATAGAAAGACACTGGCGTGAGCTCCTGGCTGGGAAATCTGTGCACGTGAGAAAGAAGGCAGAAGGAAAAAGAGCAGAAAAGTAGCAAAAAAGAACAGAGCAAAAAGAACAGAGCAAAAAGAACAGAGCAAAAAAAATAATTTTTGCATTGTGTAATATTTCAGGATTAAAAAACACAGAGAGCCAGTTTATGCCATTTAATATTAAAGTGTCATGTTTCATTCATGCATTTGAAATGGTTTGCTTTTATATAAAAAAAATCTTTAAAAAACACTTGAGACACCCCCGCCGTGCCATCTCAAACTACCGAATAAGGGACTTCTTTTAAGTGGCAAAAGTTTAATATCAAAAGTTTCCTCAAAAATGCTATGTCCAAGAGAGCTATTTCCATCTACTTTAACATTTACTTTTTCAAAAGTATTTGTGCACAACTCCATTATTTAATGAGTATGGAATTTGTGATGTCTCCATCAGGGCAATGTCTGTCTGTCTGATGCTGAAAAGGAAGGAGAAGGGACATAAGGATCTATAGCTGTGGTCAGGTAACATTTGCAAAACACACATGTTGATAAGGGGGGTATTTGTTCCAGTTTCCTATTATAAAGTAAGAAGCTTCCACCCTGGAGCAAGTCTTTGTGCCCACCTCACTCCGGCACCTCACTGTGGCCGTACGAAGCGTAGCAATCCTGGCTCTCTCAATATAGGACTTCACGAAAGAAAATGTTGGGTTAAAACATGCAAAAGGCACTTTATCATCAGTGGCCCATGGTCCAGGGAGCTTGTGGCTTGACCCCCCTTGCTGCTGAGGGGTGCTGGGCAGGGTCAGGCTGTAGACTCAACCCTGCAGCTAGACGTTGCTGCTAGGCAGATTGAGCTGGAGTCTGCCTAGGATGCATCCTGGTTTCTCACCATTGCTCCTAATAGATAGGAGCATCAGGGTAACATTAATGGAATTCTCAGTAGAGGTTTATCCACAGACCAAGTGTTGCAATGGGGACAGCCACGTACAGATCCTGGGGTGGCAGCAGCAGCTGCGCTGCTCTGCACTGGCTGGAGAGGTGCTGGGGCTCCAGCATCACCTCTGCAGTGTGGAGAGCATCAGGGGAACCAAGGCAGAGCAATCCAGCTTCATAACAGACCACAATTCTTCCAGGGTAGCTCGCAAACTAAGTGTGGTCCAGCTTTTACCTTCAATGTCACAGCTTCTCTGCGAGAGAAACACAGGCCAGGTGCAGGGTATCCTCTGGCCCATGTGCTCAGGTCTAACCTGCAAATGAGGCCTTGCTTTTCTGAGCACGTAGATGGGTTGATGAGGGGGGAAAGGTGGCTTTTCTCAAGTTTTGCTTCAAGCAGGAAGGTCTCCAAAGGCAAGATGCAGAGGTGTAACTGAAGAGAGCAACTCTTTTGGTTTTGCTCTTTCCCACATTTTGCAAGGAATCCCCTGGGCTCCTGCTCCGAGGCTGCCCAAGGCCTTACTGCACGCATGCCAGGAGAACAACACAGGTGGCCAAGGTGGGAATGGGGAGGGCAGCTCTGCCACCCCTCCTTTTCACAGCTTGGACTCTTCAAGGACGATGGGATCAGTGCCTGCTTCAGGTATTGCTTTCTGCAAGTCAGACAAAGAAAAGCTATGTTGTCATTGATTCAAAATAACACAGGCAATTTCTTACGGGTAAATGTGGAGTCTCCCACAGGCTAAGCTCTGTGTTAACTCACTGTGGGGCAAGACAGGGATCAGAAGTGCATGGGAAAGACTCACACCCCAAAGCAGGTCAAGGTGAGTCCAAGCAGCACAGAAGCAAGAGATAAACACAGTTGCACTTTGAGTAGTTTCTTACACAAACTGCAGCTGGAAAGGTTTTACAGAAATCAGCAGCAATATCCCAAAGCAGAAGAGGGAGATGAGGAGAGCTGCAGAGAGATGCCCAGAGGCATAAGCCAGAAAATGCAAAGAGAAAGCTCCTGTCAGCACTGGGAAGGGCAGAAAAAGGGTTGCACGAAGTGGTGTTATAGGTGGGGGTAAAAAAATGGTTTGAACTCCACTAGAACACATCCCAAAGCACATGGCTGTTCTGGACAGGCTGGCCAAGCCTTGTGAGTCTTGATCCCACTTACCTGTTCTCGGCTGTGGGACTTCAGGAGCCCAGGTTTGCAAGATGAGCGAGAGCCACAGGGCTCCACCATCTAGGAAAAGGAAGGCTGCACTCACAGGTGGGGTCAGGAACAGGCCATGAGGATGGCCTGCCCGGGGCATTGAGATAGGAGAAAGAGAAGGCTGTTTGTCCCCATAATAAACACAGGCAGCAGGGAGGTCTTAGGAAGCAAAACTGAAGCAATTCTTTCATACGCACTGCTAGATAAACTTCCTCTAGAGCTGAGCATGCTGCAGCTTGCCAAAGACTCCAGCAAGCTAAAGAGGTTGGGCAATTGCCCTACCGACCTGTCCTTGGAATGAAAAGGCAACATGCTTTGGGGTATTCCACTGACATCCATCAGATAAATCTTTGCATCCAGGCAAGCAGGAAATAAAAATGCACACATACAATAAAAGGTGGTTTGCACGGATGCTGGAAACCAGGAGCAGGTGAGAACAGGTTGTACACAGCATAAACAAACATCTAATATATAAAATGACACAGCTCTGAATCCCTAAGATAGCGTGCTAGATGATTTCTGATTCACTTACAGCAAAGGCAATCCACAGAGAGCATCACGTAGAAAGGGTGTTTGATCTAAGTGTCCTGAGGTACAGAAAGCTAAGCTGGTTGATGATCTGGGAACCGATTGTTGGAACAATTCAATCTTTATAAAAAGACAAGGTTTTCATAGTGCCATTAGGCTAATTTAGCTCCCACTACAAGTTTACTTGCAACTGCTGTTTAATTATAGCTTTAAGCACAAAAAGGCACTGACAGAAGACAAACTGCCTGTGGACGTAAGGAAAGTCCTGTGGGAAAAATTGAAAATACCCTGCAGTAAGATCACAGTCACTAAGAGCTCTGGAAGACACCTGCCTAGAGGCTGCATCGCTGGACAGGCAGCACCGACTTCAGCACTGAGGCTGTGGGTGAGGTTACAGGTTTGCACATTCCTCTTCTCCCTAGAAAGCCAACAGTTCAACTTGGTGCTAGTCTTCCCATTTCATTACCAGAAGCCACTATTAGGTGAAAATGGAAGAATTTCCCTGTGAGAGCTGACAAGTGTGTTTATCCTTCTGTTGCATCCTTAAAGTGCTAGGAAGCCAAACTGTGGCGGTACTACTCTGCCCCAAAGCCATTCAATAACTGAACAAAGAATTAAAGATTTTAACAGCTTCCTACCAGATCATTTCCATTTCTGGACCAGAAGGAAGCATACCTTGCTAAGCCAGGACTCTGCTCTGGATGCTGGTTCACCAGACAGGACAAATAGCCAGCTGCCTAGCTCTGCCATGGGTCCCCACTGGGTCAATTCACCATCACCAACAGGGCTATGCAGTCAAAAGGTGCAGCATTTCAGCAGGAAGGACGAGGCCCACACACCTCTAAGGCTCTGAATCGTCCAGAAGATCACCCTGGCCGAGTGCCTGTCTGCTTGCAGCAGGCACAGCACAGCACAGCCGTCCCTTGCAGTGCTTGGCAGCTGAGATGTCCATGATAACACCAGCAGTTGTACGAAGCTGGGTCCTGCGCTAGGCACAAAGGCAGCAGTGACTTAGCTTCAGCCATCAGCCAAGTCCCGCTGTATCCCATCAGGTCCACCCAGCTTGTGCAGCTACTCAGCTCCTGGCACCCACAAAGCCAGCCCACTTACCCCTGCTAGCACTAGTAGCACAGACTGCAGCACAGGGAAAGACTCAGGAGAGCCCAGTCCAAAGTCACACCTTTCCCTTCCCACCTAACTGCTCCACGTGCTCCAAAGCACAGCAGCTTCACGCTCCTGTTAGTACACAGCCCAATCTCAGCAGGACTAAGGCTGGATTCTCCAGCAGACTTGCTCTGCCTTTCCCCATTAGTTTTGTCTGCTGTGTCCCTTAAATGAAGCAATTTAACGAACACAACAAAAAGCAGAGGGCAGTGTGGTTAACTGGACAGAGCAGCCAGCCAAGGCAAAGGACGGGAAGCAGCCAAGTGTTACAGCTTAAGAAATAGCTGAGAAAAAACCAAGAGCCATTGAGAATTACAGGTGAGCAAGCACAGTTTTATAATTTTGAGGCATCCTTACACCGAAAGGCACCAACCCAATGACTCTGGTGTTGTTAGAGGCTTTTAAACTTCTAGTACGTAGTGGGCATCCACCACAGCTCTTCTACTGAGCTCCAGGCATCACTTCCACCCAAGAGTCTGGACTGTAAACGTACCATCAGTGAATGCCTGTACTTCATCTCCCCAACAACTCAGTGACAGTCCAGTTCTCTATCTGCTGCCCATCCACTAGGCTCGCATCAGATACGGGCATCTTCAGTGATCTTAAGAGCTGTCTCCTCTCTCCTCACCTTAGACCTGTATCTCAGAAGGCCAAAAAACCTCCCAGAACTCTGCAGCCCTTGCTGTTGCCCCAGAAGTGCCATTGGCTTGGTGCCTGGGCCACCCATGAGCGTTCAGCCAAGCAGATTAGTGATTCTCCTACCTTTGTGCTTGAGCTAGTGAGCAGGCATGGAAATTGATGGGTTAGGGTTACAAGCTACAGTCCACAATCCATGATCTGACTGCTGCCTTGGAGTCTTCTGCAACAACAGCTACAAGTCATGATTCCAAAGATGGAGGCAAATAGGGAGGGAAGAGGAGAGGGAAAAAAAAATAAAATAGAAGAACAGCCAAAGGAGATACCAATAAAATCACTCACATAGAGTGCAGCAAAGCTCCAGAACATGATTCTTGTCAAAGCTCTCCAAAGAATCATAATGGTTGGTAAAGATCTTCAAGATCGGAGTCCAACCATAAACTCATTACCACCCTGCCAGCTAAAAGGCACCACATGAAGTTGTCCAGCTGACCGCTGCCCTGCTTGAGGCAGAGCACCAGATTCAGCCTGACTTCAGACGGTTGAGGTTTGTGAGTTGCTTATTAATCCTGAGAAGTCAGTCAAATGAGCTCTGCCATTTGGAAGCCACCTTTGGGGTGGGAGAGGGGTCCATCATGGAATTCATGGAGCACAGCACCCAGAGCAGAAGCTGCCAGTGCAGTTTCTGCCTGTCTGAGATCCTTTGCCTCATATATGTGTCTCTGGTTCTTACCACAGGCAGTTCTGGAGGACTTTAGGATTAGAGAAATGGTACCCGCACACACCTTGCCCTGGTGCCAATGTCCTCTCCTGCATCCAAGAGCAGGCCCTTACAATTGTACCTCAGGCTTACAGAAAAAAATGGTGCAAGCATAACCCTCCACATCATCTGAAGAGGGAAGTGTCTGACCAAAGGGAAGGAATCCCACTACTACCTGACAATGTGTTTCCTGCCAAATGACCTTCATATTTTCTCCTCCTCCCACAAATATGTTCTCAATGACCTGCAGTGCCACAAGCACCTCATAGCCCTGCTGCCTCAGGGTTTGCATACAGTGGCTTGGCCTCACAATCCATGTTCTGCTTCTGGCTTCATCACCGTTATCTAGGGATACGGTCCTATTCTTGCAAGAGACTGTTCTTTAGGCCCCTCAGCCAGCTTTGTTCTGGTTAACCCTGTCTACACCAATGTTGTAGGAGCATACAAATAAATAAATAAACAAATAAACAAACAAACAAACACTAACCCAGAAACTGGGGGGTTGGCAGGCGTGGGGGCTTTCTGCCCAAACTTGCTAAACTAGACAGCCTTTTTCTTCCCATCTGCTCTAGAATCACATGCGTAAGCATGCAGGGCAGCATCAGCTTCCCCTACTTATCCTACTCTATACATTTGTACTGAGACAGTTCTGTGTGTATTTATACATATATGTGTACATATATATATATATATTTATATAAAGACTATAGGTATTCTGTAATTGAAAATGCACCTTCCTGAGCAGCCAGCCAGCCAGAGGAGGCTAGTTGATGCTCATGCACCCTCGGGGCTCTCTCCGGAGGGGAGCAGTTGGCCTCTCTGGAGGAAGGCAGCGCTGCCTGCTGCACCGAGCCGACTCGGCCCGCATGGCACCGAGCAGCTGCGCTCTGCCAGTCACAGGGGCCGATGGCTTCACGGACACTGAGCGGACGTCCTGGAAAAGGAGCCTCATGAGGGAAAGCGGCCAAGGCAAGCACTAGTTCCTGCCCCTTCTGCACAGGGGGAGCTTCTGAGATTATCTGCCGTGGTTGGGTCCTCTCCCTCCTGCAAACAGCTGCACTTACTGCAAGGGGCACCCCAGACTCTGATACTGAAACCTCAACTTGCAGCCTTCTCCACACACTGCACAAAGGCTGGAGATGCAGGCGCTCCGAGCCCTGATTTGGGTTTTGCCACTGACTTCCCTCCAGTCCTAGAGCCTGGACTCCACTCTGCAGCTAAGGACAGGGAGTAGGAAGAACAACTTGTTCCATAGGGAGCTGGAAGAATGATGAGCCAACTCAAAACAAGGGCAAAGCGTTTGAGGGCTCTGTGGTTAACAGGGCAAAGAAGGGAGCATAGCACTGACCCATACCCGTCTCTAGCTAATATGAAGACATGCAGAGCCCTGCAGAGTCCACAAGGACCAAAACCTCAAAAATGAGCCTCAAATATTCAGTATGACATTAACCATGTCACACTGGCCTCCAATGGAGCTGGGGTTACAGCCAATTCTCAGAAAATGCCAACAAGGAGCTTCCCTACAGGCAAAAGGTGGCAGGAGAAGAATTGAGATGACAGGATCAAAACTAGAATTGCGACTCAGAAAGGACCAACCCCGTTCCTAGAAAGAACTGAGGTTGGGTACTGCCCTGAGCTAAGAGCAGTGAATTATCAGGAGCACAGAAGGGATCAAGGGGGATTTACTCACTGTCTGTTCACTTTCCAAATTGGCCTGCTGTCTTCGAAGATCAGCCTTAATAAATGCTGAGACACAGAAGGAGACAGAGAAATGTGAAAGCAATTAAGTCACTGTTCAGAGCCCCAATCATTTTCCCCAAGACCCAAAAGAGCAGTAGAAGCCCTGGAGGAGACAAGGAGACAGGAGAAGCCACCCTCCTGACTGAGAGCACTTCTGAAACGTGCAGTGCAGAGGCTCCTGATCCCAGCAAGCGATAGACTCATCTTTTGAGACCCCAGCCAGCAGCTGGGCAGGCAGCCTTGGATCTCTTCTTTTTACCATAGACCAGAGCTGCTTAAAGCAGCACAGCAGCATTGCTACGGGTTCTGTTATTTCTTGCAGGCACTGCTACACATAGGAGCCCTTCATAGATGCCCAAGCAGAAGAGCCACAGTGGAGAAACACAGGGAAGTCTGATTACCTGTTATGACAGTCCCCAGGAACAGGAAGGAACAAAGAAAGAGGTTTCCTGCCTTGGTCCCAAAGTGATGCATGATCTGTCCTTGGCTGATGGTGAAAGCAATACCAAAGATCTACAAAAGGACAAAAGAAGGGTCAAGCTCTACTGCTGTTATGAAGCAGCCCAAACAATTTCCCAGCACTAGCAAAATATCGGAGTATACAGGTCTGCCAAGTTGTTGGTTAGTTCTGCTGGGCTAGAACTTGGCTATAAACACTTCCCTGCACCTACTTGCAGATGATGGGAAGAGAGGTGAGCCTGAGAACTGAATTTGCTCTCTCACTGGAAGAAAGGCAGGTCCTAGGCTGTTAGGAGCAATGTTGGAAAAGGCACAGATCATCGGCATATTGACAGGTATTTCCTAAGCAGAAAGAGAACGGGTTCTGCTACAGGAATGCCACCAGCATTTTAAAAAGCAGACTTTTAAGGTGCTTAGGTCTGAAGTATATGACAATAACCATGGACAAGAAAATGGGATCAGGAGCAAGAACCATGACTTGATCTTTCTGCCTAAAAAGAGGTTCTGGAAGGTGAGGAAAAGGAAAGAGTGCACCAACCTGTGCTGAGACATTAAGGAGCCCTGATGATGTCCCCTCTGATTCCGGATATGTTAACTCGGCAGCGAACTCAAAGCCCAGGGGCAGGTACCCCGTCATGAAAAACCTGTAGAGAAACACACAGCAGGGAAGGCTCAGAAGCTACTAGAAGGATGACTGAAGAGGCACAGGGCAGCCCACACCCTGCCCCAATGCTGTAATCCCTGGCTGCTTGGGACGTGTCCCCGCACATCACTGCGGCCCACGCAGCTGTCCCACCACCCCCTCACTGTGCACAGGCCTCCCTCCCGCTCTCCAAAACCTGTGCCCAGAGCCTCACAGAGCCTCGGCCCCAGGTGCTGAACGAGGCCCGAAGGCAGCGCCTCCCACGGTAACTGTGAAGGGCATCAGTCCCCAGCACGGCCAGGCAGCCACCCTGACCCACGTGCTTTTCCTTCTCCCCTGCTTGAGTCCTATTTGTTGCTCAAATCCTTTCATTTGACTGCCTAGCGCATTTAAGGCAACTATAGTCAATCAGGGCTTATGTCTGACATATGTCCTGACTAACCAAACTGAGCAGAGGTGTGGCGAGCAGACTGTTTAACCTGTATCCCACAGGAGCGTCGGACACGGAGCGCAGCCGTGGCTGCATGTGCCGTGTCCCCCACGCCGTCCCTGCGCCCCGGCACACGTCACAACCCGCAAGGTACTCACCCCAGCACGCCCGCCGTCACAAAGACCACCCAGAGGGAACCCAGGCTCAGCGTGAACGTGTAGACAACCATGCCCACTAGGGACATGATATAAACCACTACCGTCGTCTGTCTGCAAGGCAAAGCACAATCCAAGCTTTATTTAATCCAATTCTTCTCGTCCCTTCCATAGATCTCAGCATAGGGTAACAAAAAGGGCCCGGCACTCTCACACCCTCACCACAAGCAGAGGAACTGCACTGACACAGAGCACAGCAGGGCCTGGACACAAAGTAGGGCAGCAGGAGATGCAAGAGCAGACATGGAAGTTCCCATCTACCTGTCTCTCAGGAGCCCTTTGCTCCCTGGGAGGTCAAGAATGACATGGTACCTATAGAGAGGGACCCTGGAGGCAGTCAGTAAACTCATATCCTAACATGGGCTGACTGTTGCCTGGCCACGTGTCATCTCTCTCTAAACAGGAGAGAAAGTCAAATCATCAGCCTTAGTCAAAGATCATTAACCTTAATGACTGCTCCTCCCGGCTAGGGTTCATGGGCATCCTCTGCCTTATAACCAGCTGAACACATTTACAAGCAGGGGGCTGAAGGCATGACCACTTGCAAGCAGGAAAGCAAAAAGCAGAAGGGGAATGCTGGGGAAGGGGAAGCCGTGATATGGGTCAGCTGAGAAAGGCTGCACAGCCCCTCCACGACTGGGAAGAACCACAAAGAGAGGATATTGTATAGAGATCACACAGAGAGGACACTTTTGAGAGAGGCCAAAAAGAACTCCAGAGCAGGGAGAATAAACAAGGATGCTGTTTTATGGACATGTTTTATTCTCCAGTGCTCCCCAGAGCAAGTTAGAGCGACAGCCTTCCATGCTGCAGCTGCCTGCAGTGCTCGAGAGGCAGTGCACGGCACCGGGCACCCTCCCGGCTCCTGGCACGGCGCGTCTGGTGGCACCGGTGCTACAGCCAGCAGCACCCGAGCCACGAGCACAGGAGGGGCAGAAGGGCCCCCGTGCCCGGGGAAGAGCAGGGATGGCCACAAGGAAGAGCGGGGATGGCCGCAAGGAAGAGCGGGGGCTGCAGCCCCATCAGCGCTGAGCCCAGCGCAGCCGCTACCCCTGACTCCATAACCTGGAATTCCTTCCCACAGCCAAAGAAAACAGCCCGGTCCGGGGCAGAGGGAGCAAGGAGTGCATGTCTGGGGAAGGAAGGAGAGAAGAAAAGGTAAATTCTGTCACTGACTGAAATTCCAAGAGTATCTTGAAAGCAGCAGTTACCGGAGTAGAAGAAGATTAACTTGGGGCTGCACAGGGAGGGGGGCTCCTAGGAACAAGTTATAAGTATTATCACAAGCTACTTTTCTGCTTCTCAGCCAATCTTACAAGCTTAATCCATTAAAGAATGTGTTTGCTATCAGCATAGGCAATTCTATTAAAGAAACAACAACAAAAAATCACATCTATTTTCACATTAAAATTTGGTTTTAGTGAAAATACTGTCCGAAATCTAATCTCAAACTGGTAGCAGGCAACCACTATCACATTTGCAAGAAAAATTCTCCAGCACACTGAACTATCACAAATAAGACTAAAATGCTCTGTCCTCCAGCACTGCTGGCAATGACTGCAGTCAGCGGGGCTAATACCCCTAAGTCATTTCTTAGTGAAATACAAGTTTGAGAAGCTAAGTTCAGACTTCAACTTTTGGTTCATGCTTATAAAGATTCAAAAGACACATTATTTAGGTTTTCAGTACATTAAATATTTCACTGTGATAAGTAGGGGGTGTTTTTTTGTTTGGTTGGTTTTTTTGTGCTTTTTGGAGGGGGGGTGGAAAGGGTAGGGATATCCCTTAACCTCCAATGCTACATAGCTCCTCTACTATGTTTTTCCAGTAGTTTTGTGGATAAAATAATTCACCTGCGAGGGTAGCATAAAGGGGGTTCTTCTAGTGTAAGCCACTACAGCGAGCTGCTGCAAGACTGGCACAGAGCCCAAAGGCTACAGAAGAAGGTAATATGAATGACATAGAGGACATGACATGAGGACATGTCCTCCAAGACAGGAGTTAGAGAGTTGCCTCAGGGGTGAAGGAAAGGCAGTAAAAGCCTTTCTCTGCTCAATATGGGGTCCCTTGGACAGCCCCCTGAGTTCTCGTGCCTCCCATACCCTGGCACAGAACAGCCGCGGAGAAGAGCGGACTGGTTCTCCATCTCCCTGGGCTGTGCAGACCGCCACTGAACTGGATGCTGCTGCCACAGAAAGGAGTCTCCAAACTGCACAGAAATCTGCGCTCAAACCCACACTACACAGTACAGGCGGGCATGAAGGAGCCCTGGCCCCGAGATGCTTAGTCTGTCAGCAAGGACATTTGATACATGTCCAGAGATGGGGGTTTTTTTTGGTCTCCCTCCCATCTACCACCAGTTGTGGTCTCAGTGCAGAGTTCTCAGGGCAGTCCCACAAGATCTTGCCCCATTTCCTGGGTTTGTGATTCACACGTTCAAGAGGGGCTGCATCTGAAACACTCCCTCTTGACAGCTGCCTTGTGCTCTGCTCCTCCACTCCAGGGCAAAGATGATAAGCTGGTGACCAGATGTGGTCAGGACCTTGTTTCACACTGAGGTGGGATCATTAGTCAAGCAGCAACAGAGAAGTTCCCAGAACATGCAACTCCCTGCCGAGAACTACAGCAGGCCACTCTCACAGGCTTAAGCTAGTGGTGATCTCCATTGGAATTGCAGGATTAGGTGGGGGAAAAGAGGAGAGTTGAACTCCACCTTGCCATGGGTGCTTCTGCTGTGCACTAGCTCACTCGAGGAGGCAGCAAACCCCCTGCTTACCCATTGCTTACCCACTTCCCTCAGTCATTAGGCTCCAGTAAGACAAACCAAATGGGATGATCTTTGTGAAAGACAAGGGCTGCAGCTTGAGCACCTCAAATACATCCCAGCAAGCGCCCTAAAGGAGGGCCCCTATTTGGGACATGCACAGAGAGCTCCGGGTGCAGCTTCTGCTGCATGAAGCGGTATCAAGCACACGGGTAGACTTCTGCTAAACCTGACTTTAGCAAACACCTGCTCCAGTGAGAACATCATTCATGACAAAAGAAAAAACTAAATGGACATTTTGTGCCCAGCTGCTCAAGCAAGACCCTAAATGTCACACAAGCACAGAGTTTGACCAAGTCACAAGTAGCTACTGAGTGATGGGAGGCAAGGAACTCCTACGGAAAGAAAAAAAAAAAAGAAAAAAAAAAAAGAGGAAGGAGGATGTTTCTCAGGGCTGACCTTTGCCCCCACACTCACTAGTCAGAGGTTAGCAAGACCACTGAAGAATGGCTACTTCTGCTTGAAAACTCATTTACCATAACCATCTGGGTCTTATGGGAACTGAAATACATGACGGAGAAACGAGAAGGCATTTGCATACAGTCCTGGTGCTCTGGGCAACTTGTCGGGGCTGATAACCCATCAAGGACTGATAATTAACACCCCCTGGAAGATGAGCAGCCAGTCTCCCTGAAAGGACACCCTGTACAGGGCATGGCCAAAATTATGCATTTTGCTGTATCACCTTAGGACACCCCAGATTAAACTATCTCTGTGCTCCAGGGTCTGGGAGAGGAGCCCAGAGCACCAGCATGGAGGTAGGCGGTGCTACCAGCTGCCAAGCCTCCATGGCAGAGCCAGAGGGAGAACTGCGAAGGAGGTGACACACTTGTCACTTTGGTGAACCTAAGCTGCCCTGACACTCCTCTGCTCCCAGTCACATTCCTTGCCCTCTTTAAGAGGTACGTTGGTTAAAGAGCTTGCACAAAAGGCCGTGAGAAAGGGACTCAGGGAGGAGAAGGCCAGCCAGGAGGAGCATCCATGGGGAGCCCAGTGCTTGCTGCGCGGCCAACACCAGAGGAGGCTCCAGAGCAAGAACAGGCAGGACCAGGCCCGGCCCAGCAGCAGCCCACAGGATCACTGAGGCAGGGTAAGGCAAGGGGACAGGCCCAAGCTCACCAGGAGGCAGAGCTGGTGAAACACGAGCAACACCTGAAGGAAGAGGGGCTGAACAAAGAGAGATGCAGAAGGGGAGGGCGGGAGGCCACAGGCAGGTGCTCAGCTTGGCTGCTCCCTAGGATGTGACGTGCAGCTCCCTGCTGTGCAGGCTGGGTGGCCCTCACAGGCTTTGCCACGAGGACAGCATGTTCCAGAGAGCCCAAATGTGCCCTGTCCCCATGCTGCCTGAAGGGTCTCACTGCTGAGGACACTGAGGGGTCAGGTTCTAGAAAAGGGAGGAATTGCAGAGGGCTAGTTTGATCTTCATGCCCCACATCTTTCCACAATCACTCTTCTGTCACCTTTTTTCTGTATGAAGGTCACGGGAGAGGACAGCCTTGATAAAGTACTGGTGAAAGAAGACACAGGGCAGAAGAGGGTAGACGCACATCTGCTACCCAGGGACTAGCTCGGGAAAGGCTGCCACAAGAAGGCCTAAAACTCAGGTCAGGCTTCTTTTAGACACACACACACACAAAAACCCCAACTATCCCATTCTCCACTGCCCATATGTTCCTTCCCTCTCCCAGATTTTAAACACACTTCATGGTCCTACACAAAAAGCATTTAAGGTTCTGTGTCTAGTCAATAGCGAGAGATGAGCACCTCCAAAATCTTCAAGTACAGAGATAAGAGCAGAAAGCAGCTGTCGGGAAGCAGCGAGGCCCTCTGCCATCTGTACACCGCCCTTGAAAAGCAAAACACATTCAGAGAGACGTGTTGACTAATCCAGTTCCTAGATCTCTGATTCCAGGCGGGACTCCTTGGGAATACTAGGACACCCCAGGCAAATCAGCAGCCTCCAGCTGTCACAGCCCTTTCCTTGGGCAGGAACGGCAAGGGAGGCCCATTTAACTTCATGGCAAAACTGTGTTGCTATAGAGAGGTGATCTGCTGTCAACAGACGATCCCACTAAAGGTGACCTGAGTTCTGGGACAGTTTTCCCATCACAACATAACCCACATATTTGTGTGGGCCAAATATGCGCCTGTTAATTCCAAAAATAAGAACAGTGCAGGGGCTGCTGCGGGGACTGCCCTGCCAAATAAAAGCAAGACTGTAAGGCCACACAGTGCCCAAGCACAAGAGACAGGGAAAGCCCAACTGGCTTTCACAAGCACAGCACCACCCCTTCTAGGAACTGCTGACAGGACACAAAACAAAAATACTAGAAAAATTAAAAATAAAACCCACAAACACGTATATAAAGCTCTGCAATACATCGTGTTATTAACCTCCCCCCAGTCACAGCTGTAGCCTATTCATCAGACAGCCTCTTTCCTTGTCTTCCCTCTCTCCTCTAAGCTGACTAAAAAAACCATACTTGACATCTTTCCTTCCTGATTTTCATGTGCTTATCATTATATTCCTGATTCTGAATGGTGAAGGGAAGCGGGGGTGAGGATCTACTTCAAACATCTGGCATTCTGGCAGGTTTTTTAAATAGACTTTTAAATGAGACTAAATAGAGATTACGTAGCAATCTGAGAAATATTGCTAGTTCCATAGAAATCCACTTGTTGGGCTGCAATGCATAAGAAATTCTTAGCAGAATTTTTCCTCATACAAGGCTGTATCTAGTCCCAAAATACCTCCTGGAGTCTATAGGGTAAATTCTATGGGTGACACAACCCTACTTTTCTGTACGCTCAGGCAGCTCTGCCCACCTGCATGATCCCTTCAAGAAAACACAGGCCTCGGAAGAAACCCACATGCCACAAGCCTCAGCTCTGGCTAGTGAGCCCCAAAGCTCTGGAGCCCTCGTGCTGCACTCTGGCTCGACTCCGGGAAATCCAGGAGGACCTTCTGCTGCAGCAAGACCCCCTCAGCACCAGCTCCAGTCGGAAAGCGCCAGCGGCGTCACGCAGGATGTCGAGTGTGGTTCACAGCACCTGGGTTTCCACTGCTCAGAGCTGCCAGGAGAGAAACACTCACCTGCATGCAACCATGTAGAAAGAGCAGCAAGCGACCTGCAAGGCTCTGTACCAGCCATCTGCTGCAGCTCCTCGGGAGCCCTCCTCCACCGCTCTGCCTTGCCAGACAGGACAGTTCCTCCCCAGGCTTGACCCCAGACTGGCAGCTAGGGCCTGAGGTCTCTTCAGTAGCCGCAAGGCTGCACCTGGTCAGAGTCACCTGAAATCTCTACCATGGGACATCACTTTTCTGGCCCAAGCTACCAGCTAGAAAGAAAGCAGAGGGGCGCCCCGAGGTGAAAAGCTGCTGGAAGGAAAGGACATTGAAGCTGCCTTCATACTTCAAAGCTGCCAATTTATCTTTTACTCCTGCAATGAAAGCCTTATCCTCCCTGACCTGCTCAAGAGAGCAGGTTAGCACAGTTCCCAATGCCAGTGGGCACAGTGAAAAACTGTTAACACAAATCCCCCTGTAAGGCAGCACAGGCACCCTCCATCCGCCAGGACACCCCGCAGAGCTCTAGCAGGCAGGGACACAGGGAGTCTCGTCAGGGTCACGCGAGCTCCTGGGGGCTGGCAGAGCTGCAGGGCAGCAGGGACCCTGAGCCACCTCCCTGCACTGAGCGGCCGGGTGCACTGGCCAGATCTGCCTGGGAGGCCACAGGCAGCCAAGCCCTCACCACCCAACCCCAGGCCCTCCACCCACGCCCTGGACACAGCACAGCTCTCTCTCAGCACTACACTCAATGGTGCTTTCATTAAATAGCACAGAGATTCACAGAAGCCAGCCTGTAAGGGCACAGAAATGGCCCAGTCTTGGCTTTGCCCATGCCAAGAACTCTGTCAGCCCTGACAAAGAAGCTACTGGGCAATATGTGCCCCTGCTCTGCTAGGAGCTGGCAAGAGCTCAGCCAGGGCCACCTCAGGACACGGCAGTGTGCTGCTCTCCTGGCCACCTTGACAAGACCAGGTCCCGAGAGGCAGTCCCGTGGGCAGCCAGCCTGGCTCCGTTTGCCTAGAAGGAAAGTACCACCCCACCTGGGTGACCAGGCAGCCCCCATCACCTGCCCACAAGCTTCGGATACCTCTCCTTGGCAGCCCACGCATGTCTTCCCTACTCAGACAGACTGCTCCATCTCTTCTCTACCCCCAGGCACCTCTCCTGAGGTCTCAGCTCCCTCTCGGCAACGCCAGTCACAACAGCTAAACTTTGATCAGTATGACATAGCAGGAGTTCACATACAAACACTCAAACTCTCATCTCAGGCCACCCCAAAACCCAGAAAAACAGACAGCAGAAAGAACCAACACAGACCTTGATGAACAAACTCCTCCAGCCTGCGAGCCTGCTGGGAAAAGGAAGCACCAGAACCAGACCTTGTGTTGGCCCAGCACAGACTAACACCCTGCTCCAAGCTTCACTCGGGACTACCTGTGTTCAGAAGAATCCTATCTTTCTTTCCCGCAAATTCCTCCCAGCAATTCATTCCTGGGCAGCAGAGCTGAATCTGTGCAGGCTTGTTCCTTGCACAGAGCAGAGGCAGAGCACAGTCACCGGGGCAGAGGGGCAAGCAAGGGACTTACTTGTAGGTTTTGGTTCTATCCAACCAGATGCCGGAGATCAGGGCCCCAGCCATGCCCGAGAGCACAATGGTGAGTCCAATCCTGCCAGCATTCACCTCCTCCCCCTGTGTAAGACACACACACATACACACAAACGCAGGAGCCAAGTCATAGCCAACAGCAAGCAAAGTGTGGAGAACCCAGACAGCAAGAGACACCTAAGCTGCCTCCCCCCACACAGGTCTTCTCCTGGTAACATGCTAACCAAAACTAGAGTTTGCAAAAGACCTCTTGGGACAAGCAAGAGTCAATGAAATATCTGGCCTTCAGAGAAACGTGGTTTGGCCTTTCTTCCTGAGCCAGCCCTGGGGAAAGGTGAGCACTCACCAAAGTGAACAGGCGCTTGAAAGGAGATACTATAAATCCTACAAAACTTGCTGCCTGGCATCAGAATTGATATCAATCTACCAGGAAACACTGGGACCAACTAGGAGCTCGCTGGCACTCAGGCCCAGCAGCAGGCATTAGAAAAGACCAGCTGCAGTGGTATCCCACTCTCCTGCTACAGGCCTGCTAGTGTGGGTAGTGCCAAGTGCAGACACCCCAATGGGAACTGCTGCTAGGGAGTGGGCAGAGGCAGCGTCTGGGAGAACTTCTCTAGGGAAAACACTGTCACTTCAGGTATAGAGGAGCTGTCACTGCTCACCAGCTTGGGCTGCTATAGAGACCAAAGGAAGCCAGTACTCTCCAGCCAGCTAACTCGTGCCAGAGGCAGCCAGGAGCCCCGTAGCACTGGGTTTCTCAGAGACACTCCTTTGGCACCTAGCTCTGGACAACAGCAAGCAGAGAGTCCCGAGGGCCAGTGGCACTTACTGGGTAGTGCTGGATCACCATGCGGTTCAGCAGAGTGGACAGGGAGTAGAAGCACCCTGTATTCAAACCTATGGAGGGGATAAAATGCAGCACATTCAGAGCCTGCTACTACTTTCTTACTGCAGTAGTAGTGAAAGGGTAGAAATGCAGCAAGATATTTGATCCAGAACAAGGCTGCAGAGCAGCAGGGCAGCTGTCCAGCCTCCCTGGGCTCAGGTTACTGGGAGAAATCCAGACCAAGGCCAGCTAAGGCTCAGTGCTCAGGAGAGGCAGCCTGCAGCCTCAGGATTGTTCTTACCTGAGCAGCCACAGGAGAGGCTGCACACATTTCTAGAACAAGATTTTGCAGGACCTACCCATTGGCATCTCAATCCTTCCCAGGCACCGCCAGACCCATCTTGAGAGGTACAGTTTTCTCCTCCATCCCAGCCAGGGAAAAATCAGATCACAAAGCACCTGCCTCAGCATCACACCTCTGATAAGGAGCCAGGATTCAGTTACTATCAGTGCCAGTGACCGGGGAAGCTTCCTCCCAAAGAAGAGCTCAACAGCACTCTCCCTCCTGACACCCTGGAAAGAACATCCTTCCAAGCCAAGAGACACCAGAAGGAGCAGAGCTGACAGTGAGGACAGCACTCCCACCAGGCACCTGCGGTGTGTGTCTGCATGGAGAAAGTCTCGCCTTTTACAGATTATCACTGAAGCCTGGAGGGGAAAAAAAAAACTGTGAAAGTAATTATCTTTCTGAAAGGGAAGTTAGAGCAACTGTTACATGCCTCAGCCACCTGGGGAAGGTTTCTCAGTATCACACAAGGTGAAAATGGAAACCGTTGGGGCGATACTGGTCAAGCCCTGTTCAGACACTTGCAGCATATGTGCAACTTTCATAAGTTTTCTTCTTGCTCACACAAGAGCTTTGCTTATGGTGGATGAGAACATGCATGTGGGGGCTGCAGGAGCAGCTCTGCAACTGCTGTGTTCTCACCTTGGGTGATACTGAGAAGCCTTCCCCAGGTGGATGAGGCCTGTAATAGCTGGCTCAACTTTCTTCTCAGAAAGTCATTTACATTTGCAGTTGGTTTCTCTTCAAGGCTTCAGTGACACTGGGTGGGGAGAGAGATTTCACTACTAGCAGCCCATGCATCTCCAGAAGGAGGCATGTGCTTAAAAACTCTGGCTTAGATGCCTGAAATCCTACAGCCCAGATACATGTCAAGTTCCAACTCTCCATCTTCCTTTCAACCTCACCTAAAAGCAGGAACATGGCAGTACAAAATATAGAAGTGCTGTCTAGCAGGCAGAGGGAATGAAAACTCTCAGCTCTAGCTCCAGCTCAGAGCTAAGTCTCCTCCAGACCTGCAGCCCTGAGCAGCCCTGCACCCAGCCCACCCCTCCGTGGGACAGAAGGCAGCCACTACCTTAGACACAGGACTATGAGAGGGAGCAAGATTAGCAGGTGGGGGGACCTGTCACCTCCTTCACATGCCATGCCTGAGGACACCACGCAGAGCTTGCTCAACAGCACATCAGCAACGTGCACACAGCAAAAGAAGAACTCAGACAAGCAATTCCACAAGCCCGTGGCTGCAGCAACAGTCCCTGTCCTGAGGGCAGGTGCCAGGAGGGCACAGGAGAGGCTAGTAAGCCCAGTGACACACTCTGCACGTGATCCTGCCCCCAAACTACCCAGTAAGTCCTGGAACTCCAGTATGACCAAGAGCCTGAGAGGAGGCAGAACAAACCTCTGCAGCCTGGTAGGCTGGCAGTGCAAGCCAGCTCTGCCCAACAGCTCGCTATGGCAAGGCAGCCAAGAGTGTCAAAGAGCTCTGTCCCAGCTCCATCACTGGGGCAGCCTGAAGCAGGAAGTTCCATCTCCATGTTCCACCTCCACCCTCCATGGAGTCATCTTCATGACTCCATCTGCTTTACTGTGAGGGTGACAGAGCCCTGGAACAGGCTGCCCAGATTGGGTGTAGAGTCTCCTTCTCTGGAGATCTTCCAAACCTGGATGTCATCCTGTGCCACGTACTCTGGGTGTTCCTGCTGGAGCAGCGGGGTTGGACGAGATGATCTCTAGAGGTCCCTTCCAACCTCAACTATTCTGTGATTCTATGAGACATTCCACAAACAGCAGTGCCAGGATGTGGGAATGTGACAGATCTCACATTCACTCCACCTGCTAGCGCTTCCCCTCAAAGCTGGGCACAAATACAGACCAGTCGTCTCTGTTTCTCTGCTTCGCATCCAGCCAAGAGGACAGCAGCTTTGTGGGGACAGCCAGGCTCGGCTGTGGCAGCTGAGCCTGCTGTCACTCTGCCAGCTCCACGGAGGCTCTGCACTGCAGGCGATTTCCAGGAAAAAGAAGGGCCTCTGCTCCCAAGCTGGGCAGAAAGAGATGCAGAGTTGGCGACAGCACCTGGCGCTGGAGTCAGACAAAATATTCTGAGAATCAAGACAATGTGCCAGATTTGCATTTGTGAGGGCTAGCAAAAGTTATAGGCATTTCACATGTCACAGTTGCTCACAGCCAGCTGTTCGAATGCCTTTAAAAGAGGCAAGGGCTGTTTCCACTGAGACTATGCCCACTTGTGTGCACAGATGAGAAAAACAGCACTAGTAGCTAGGAACAGGATATTCCTAGTAAGGAGCACCTTACTCCTTATTTAGCTACTACAGCCTGATTGCAGTGTGCTGTCTAAGAACATCTTTGAGACCTCCTCTTCTAGCTTATGGAGGCCAGACCTCCTCTTCTAGCTTATTCCTGCAGGCTCCAAAAGGAGCCCTAATTAATGCCTGGACTAAAACATAGGTCTCCTATAGCTAAGCATCTGTTTCCCACCCACCAGACTGCTGGCATGCCTCTTCTTCACTCTCATCATCCTCCAGGACAACGGATCTTTATAAAGATCTTGTTGTCCTGCCTCCTCCTCAGTGCTCCATCACCTCCCCAATTGTTGTCTCCTTGGAGCCTACTTAAGGCTCCACTTTATCACTCTTGCACAGGGGCTTTACCATCTCCTCACTGCCTCACTGTAGCAACATGTAGTTTCAGTACAGAGTCCAGCTCAGTAAATTCAGATTTTCTTAATAAACATCCATTCTGTGTCATGTCTCAGCCTTATGACAGCAATATTAGAAGCCTTGGGGAAAAGGCAGCATTTTCCCAAGGTTTTCCCGAGACAGAGCTCACTAACCCCAACTCTGTGTCACCAATGTTTCTAGCACTGCAAGCCTTAGCACACGAAGAGAGTTTGCCAACCACTGGTAATATTATTATTTTACCTTAGAGGTAATGCAGAGTCTTTCTCACCTGGCCTCACTGAGGGTCCCACACCAAGGAAGAGGAGCCAACAGCAGCTTTTGCACTTTATGCCTTACACTCACTCCACACTAATAAAAAAGTGAAGAGAAACTACAGATATCTTCGTGCTAGCTGGGAAGGATGATTCAGTTGCATGCATGTGGCTGCAGATTTCTTAAATCTTGGTCAACAAATCTTTCAATCTGAGTAGAAAGCTGTCTCTATTTTAAAGCCAGACTTGGAAGAAAAAAAGAAAGAAAAAAAAGTTTCATTGCTTTATTCCTTGAATATCAGTCACCATCTTTGCTGCCAGATGTTTAAAAGTCAAGTTGGAGACTGACACGAGGCTGAGACAGAGAGGAGCAGCATAAACACAGAGACCAGAAGGAAGACAGGCTGAATTATCCATTGCTCAACAGCTTTTCTATATCCCTTTGTAACTGCCAGGGAGGAATTATCCCAGGGAGATCAGATTCCAAACACGCTCTTCATACTGACATCTCTCTCTTCTGCTCCAGAACCTGCTCACCCCTTTGAGAATTAACATCTACCCTCTACACCGAAAAATAAGCCTGAAGGGAGGAGATGATAAGGTCCAACTATCTGCCTCTGACATTTTTTTTTTTTTTTTTTTTTAATCTCCACTTTCTCAAAGGGGATCAGGTGCTGGAAAAAAAACCAAACAAAATGCAATGCAAAACCGGAGTTTTAAGGTGATCAGAGAGGGGCACTCCTAGGATATTATCACACTGTAAAGGAATTTCCACCACCATTAGCACTCTCAACAGATACAAAGCCATGACCTCACTTTCTCCAACCTGAATATTCACCCACATGCTCCTTTGGGCACAGCTGCTGGTAGAACTTTAATCACTACTACTCTTTGCTCCTGTGGCACTTCCACAGTCAGCACACAGGAAAGAGGGACAGAATTCCCTGCAGACTAATTGGCTACAGTACAGCCTATTGGGACATGGGTAGCAAAGACATTCCCAGCCTCAGCTCAGAGAAATAATAAAATAATACAACACCGAACAAAACATGTCTGTATGTCGTATTTTAGCATCAGGATTTTATCCAGCACATCACACTGCCCTCAGAGATGCAGACCAAGACTGCTGAAGAAAGCAAAGCAAACAGCAAGTCCAGCTGGTCCCCAATCGCCCTTTCCATTTTGCATAGAGATTTCCAAGAAGCCAGTGCAGTTTCTGGACCTACACCCACATGACCTCCACCAGGACACCTGCAGCCCCACATCTCTTCAGAAGGTTACCTTGTTTTGGGCTGCATTCTAACAGGACAGTGAATTGCAGTCAGACACAGGACTATAACTTTCTTAGATTAGAACTCAATTAGTTCATTGCAATTTACTAACTTACTGGGAAAAAAAAAAGAGAACAAACAACAGCAAGCAGAGAAAATCCCATGAACAGAAATCAGACTGGAGAAATAACGAGCAGTTATTTCTTGCCCTTCTGCTTGCCACGTTTTTGTTCTTCCCCAGGCATTTATTTGGGGCCAGTGATGGACAGACTGCTGGGCCAGAAGGACCCTTGGTTCACAAGCATCACCACCTCTTATGTTTCCCTGGAACAACTCAGGCTTCTTAGAGCATTAGCACAGCACAGAGAGGGAGGGAGAAGCTAGGCATGTGTGGCCACGAGGACTGCAGGGAGGAATGGCTAGATCTTACCGTAAGTGACCATGAGCAGCATGAAGTTAGTGTTGCGGAGCAGGCGGACGATCGACTGCACGTAGGAATATTCCTCCGGTGGCCTCGACTGTATCAAGGCCTGAGCTTGGCTCGGAGGGTGCGGAGGCTTCTCCTTGAACACTGCAAACACAGAACAGACTTGTTTGTAGCAGGGCGCCGTGAAGCCAGGGCACGCACAGAGGGCAGAGCCATGTGAGGAACTCGGCTTGTGAAACCAAATGTGCAAAATGTGACTGTCCTTAAAGCTGGGGCACAAATGTATCCAGGAGCAGGGAAGAACAGGGTTCCTCCAGTGGTAACTCCTACTATTGGAAAGTACCTTGCCTTCAGTCAGCGTTTTGTGCAGTCTGTCTCTGACAACAGCATGAGGCTTTGCAGGACTGATAATGTCTTGGTCTGCATGAAAATAGACTACCAGACTACTGGAGACATAAGCAGAACAGGAAAAACAAGCAGACAAAAGTGCCCCAGTGCCCTCCATGTCCCATGCTTAGAGAGCACTGACCTATACTTGCTTTTACTTCAGGCCTGGCTCTTCTTAGTCTGGCCAAGCTCTCTGCAGTCTGCAGGTAGCACTACAGCAGCATTCAGGACTCTAGTAATAGGTGATACTGCTGTATTGGATGCTATATTAGACAGCCCTGCCCCAGGACCTTTAAAGCTGCCATCTGATTCAGCCACTAGATGACATGAACAAGACAGCAAGAGGGGCCCATGAAGAAAAGCACAGAGCCCAGGAGACCAGCCCTGTACTCTGGTGTTTCCAGCTTTCATGCCAAACACCTGCCTGCTACTTCATGTGCTGAATGGCAGAATTGCACCTCCAGTATCCCACTATTTCCCTTAATGCTTACTTCCCTTAATGCTTTCTTTCCTTCACTCAAAACTGCTTTCCTTTTTTCTTTCCCTGGGAACCGCATGTTCCTGTGATGCCATATTACCTGCCTCCTTTTCTTCACCCTAAAGAGGTCACCAGCCCAAGGCGTGACCCAAGATCCATCTCTCTGTTGGCAGGTACAAAGTGGAAAGGTTTCCAAGGCTGCCTTTCAAAGGACTTACTCATGTTAAAGTTTTACATCAGCAAAAGATACAGCAAAAGATTTGGCAGGCTTGCTCACCACTCTCTGCACCCCTCCTACATGTGCCTTTCATCAAGGGCTGGGAGCAGCAAAATATAGTCTTACACAACACAGAGAGCTGTGTGCTGGGACACATGGCCAGATGATTCCCCTTGGCCCATTCCCTAGCACAGGGAGGGGGTGAGAGGCTGCTCACACAACAGGCTGATGTCCTCAGCTCCACCAATTTTACTCCCACCTCCTTACCTATGACAACGAGGATGAAGAGGGCTGTTGCCACACCAGCTGTCATGAAGAACATGATGCTGATGTGGTGGGCCAGCTTCTCCTTATCTTCCACGTTGGGAACCAGAATGGGAGGGACGAGAAAGCCCAGAGCAATTCCAAGCTGAGCAGGAGAGAAGGGAGACACACAGAGAGGCCTGGTTAGGAACTGCAGTACTGTAACCACCTCCGAGCTCTGCCCCTTCATGCACCCTCCCTCACGCAGCAAGAGCTTGGCTGAGCTTACTCCAAGTTCAATCTCCTTAATAACCCAACAAGTCTGAGACAAAAGCCAACTATGCATAACTAGTTGGCTGTAAGAAGGCTGATAATTATCAGGATATTCAAGGCAAGGTGTTGCAATAGGCTTGAGAAAATTTAACATTTTCTTTCAGCGAAGTGGAGGTCTTGCTTCCCATGCTCTTCCACATGCATGTTCTTACCTGCTCACACATCTGACAGCTGATTCTGCATCTGCTCTGGTGCTCATCTGATCAACTGATAATCTGCCATTTTGTAAGGAGCCAAATTACCAGAAAATGAGAGCAGGAAATTTATTCCATACTTTCTTGCTAGGCTGATGTGTTGAGTCATTCCACTGTCTTCCAGATGGACAAATGCAAGAGCTGGCAGAAAGGCTGCCTGCTTCTGACTAGCAAGATGCAATCTGGCTCGACCATTTTATGCCACTCTTCTCTAAAGGGTCCTCTCTGAAGGAGAATCTTACTATGCTACCAGTCATTCTTTTCCCACTGAACCGGAGTGCCTAGAAAAAAAGCCATGGCAAGAGCTCAAGCAGCACGGAGACACACATGCCAATCCCAAGGCTGTGTCACAGGGCTTGACAGCTGCCCTGGCCGAGGCGTTCGGGCCTGCAGGACAGCCTGCAGCTGCCGTGCCTGTGATGGCAGGCAGCACGTGGCAGCCGAGCAGCTCCGGCCCCGCAGCAGCACCGCACACTCCGGGGAGGGCACCACGGCTCTTCCCTGCACGGCAGTTTCTTCAGAAGGGAAGGGGGCTGTAGCAGTGCAGGCTCTGTAACAGCTGGGAGTGACACTAAAAGTGGCACAGAGCTTCAGTGCCACCCCCAAAATGTAGAGGGAAGAAACGGTCACTTTGATACTTAGGAGCACAGCCCTCTTTTTAGAGGGTACTCTACAAAAGCCACATCTTTCTCTGTGTTTCACTATTGGCAGGTGTGCTGCAATCACCATTTAGCTTCCACGCAGTGTTTTTACCTGCTCCTCTGGCCTTTCTCAGCACTTCCAAACCCCTTAGATGTCAGAGAGAGGACCACGCTCAAGCTCAGCTGTTGCCTATCTCAGAAGTTCCCTGCACACTTTCCCCTGTTTGGGCCAAACCCAATTTTTGGCTTCGCAACACCCTACACCCCGCCTTTTTTTCTTTTTTCTCTCATAGCTGAAGCCAAATGTTGTTGTCATGGCCAGTAACAAGGGACACACATAAACTGCTACTAGGTGGAAGGAAACAGAAGACACCCGAGAAAGACAGAGATGCCAGGCACAGCATTTCCCTGGAGGCAGAACAGCACACACAGTGCTGGTGCAACGCTACACACAGCGCTGGTGCAATGCTACCCGGCCCAACCCAGACCAGCAACAAGAAATATTCCTCCATCTTCCCACCCACACTGGTTTTTCATGCTGCAGCAACACAGCCTCTACAGATCCATGGCCCTCATCCCCACACTAAGGGAGGAGATAACAGTGTACAAACCACGGAAGTGAGAAAACATTGAAGCAAACCCCACAGCTCCTGCAATTTCCTAATAGGAAATGTGAGGTAGATAGTAAACCATGAGCACCAGCATGACCTACAGTCTTAGGACAGGGGACTGGATTCTGCTTTGTCCTTCCCTGACCACTGGACACCAGGAAGACTGCACTGTCAGCCAACTCTGTATGGCTGCATGCTTCCACAGTCCCTAGAAAGGGTTAAATAGAAATAAGGCTGGTGACACTAAGAAAAGCAAGGACTATGGAAAACAAGGACTACACTGGTCATAAATGACTGTTAAGTAGACCACAATACAGTGATGCAGGAGTGCTGTATCCCAGGCACAAGTTTAGACACATCACTTGGATTTTTTTTTCAACAAAAATCACTTTGTGTTTTCACTACCTTCAAATTTCTCGGACATTGACAAACTCCTTCTGGAAGATCTACTCTTGCAAGGATCAAACCATAAAACACATGTTTCAAGATATTTCAAGTGCCATATGTGGTGGCTGGGACAAGAATTGGTCCATTGGGCCATCGAGCCCCCCAAAAAATCTCCACAAGCTCCCTCTTTCTCCTTTCAGTTAGTGGAGTCTGAAAACGCTTATGATTCAAAAAGAGATATATAGCTATCTGCTAGATTCAGGACCCTAATTAGTTTAAAAATAAGTAACCTGCAAATATTTCTGGCCATATCTTCTGGTGTCAGAAAGTACCCTACATGGGGACACATGGAGATAACAACGGACATCAGTTGAGCTCCTTCTCTGCACTGGGACATCACAGGAACCCAGTGGAAATAGTCACCAGGAGAATACAGATCTGACGTGCCAGCCTAGGGCGCTTACAGGAACGAGAATAACATTTAGGCATTAACTGACAGACAAATGAGGACAGACACAAGTTGTGTTGTCCGTAGTAGTAACTCGGAGCATGAAGGAGGTTAAGAGAGAACTTCAGGGACCACAGTATCCCAGAGCTGTTCACCAGCAAAGCTTCTCGAGCCTTCCTGGTGTCCACAGAGCCTCAGATATAGGACTGAACTTGCCACTGGCTGCCTTGTTGTGACATGGCCTATCCCTCAATCTCACCTGAACTGCCTGCTCACTGGGAAGACTCCCCTTTCTCCCAGTAAGTACAATGATCACTTCACTTAAAGACTTCACGTTCCGGTCTTCATTAGCCGACAACAGCTTCCAGCTCTCTGTAGGACAGAAACAAGCCTGTGGTTTCACAGAAGAGGCAACTACAACAAACCCAGAGAGGGTCAAAGAACACACATGCAGGGCAAACCCCTTTTTGTTTCTGTAGCAAGCTTATTTTGGTTGGCTTGCAGGAAAACTTGGTCTTGTCCCTCCAGTTTGCCTGCTCAGTCCGGGACATGGCCAGAGCAGTCTTCAGTGCTCTCTCCTTAGCATTCCCAGGAGCTCCAGCCTCTGAGGAAGCGTCTGAAGAAGCACCACTCCTTTCTGATCAGCAGAAGAGCCCAACCCTACATATCAAGGGCAATCAGGTCCCACCCACTCCTTCCCAGATAAGGTCTATAAATTCCTTCCTGGAAATTGCTCCTTTGTCTTATCAAAGTTTTATTCTTGGAAAAAACACTAGAGGAAGAGGATAAATTTGCTGTTGGTAGCCTCTGAGTGTATGTAGCAATAGGGTAAAATGCTTCACAGCTTAGAGGCAGCTCAGTACCTGTGATGTTTGTTGTGTCCTGTCCAGACTCGCGTCATTCCACTGCTAAGAGCAATGCAGGGCACCCAACATGCCAGGCCTTGCCCCGGTCCAGCCTGTAGCTCCCACGCAGCCCGAGCACCAGGGGCTCCGTTTCTCCCACTCTTCGCTGGGGATGACGGATTTCCTGGGCAGCTCGGTAAATAGCAGCAGCCAAGCTCAGATCTCACCCAGCCTTAAGATTAACTATTGAATGAATCCAAAAGTCGAGACATTAACAAGAGGAGTTGACCTGTATTTGTAGAGGTGGAAGAAGGTAATCTCAGCAGAGGCTCATGGAATATTCAGAGTCTTCACACAGAAGATCGAGGACTAGACTCCTACAGTTCTTCTTTCTGGGCATTCTGCTGTGGTTTTATGAGTCCAGGAAAACATGCTGTAGTCCCTGTAGTCACATCCCATTCATACGAGTTGCTGAACCACAGCAAAACAAGTACGGGAAAGGAGAGACGCGTGCTCTAGTCTGATCTCTGCTAGGGGTTTTCCTGGCATCATGGACAAAACTGCCGCTTTTCAGGTCTCTCTTTTTCCCCAACTGAGAAAGGATATATAGCTCATGTATCCAGCAGCGAGGGTATTGAGAATCTATTTGCAAGTCGGTCAGAAATCCTTTTTCTGGGAACTTCAACAGCTATTGGCAGTGCAAAGGGACACAGATTTATTGGGTTCTCTGGAACACTCCTGTTGTCTTTTCAGAAGGCTGGCACATGCTCTGCACCTGCTTTTTGCCCATACAAGGATGTTCTGGCCTCATTGTCGCTGTATCTCTCCCACCAAAAATAAAAAATTTAAAAAAAAAAAAAACTTTTATCCATTAAGGATTTCTTAAACCTTAAAGAAGGACCAGAAGAAGAAAAAGAGAAAAGGGAAAAAGAGGATCGCTATCATCAATTGCCCTGAAATACAAAATGTGGCTCTTATTACTGGGATTTTTTTTTCCTTTTCTCTATTCTCTTTAGACAGTGGTCCTAGGAAGATGAAGTCTCTTAACTTTACTAAAAATAAAGATTTCCTGGGAACTACTCACCAGCCCTGGATTACCCACAGTGCTTTCAGCAGTTAGGATAAGCTCTCCACAACATGAGCATTGCACAGCAGGTGTGTTATACATCTCCTCAGGAGAGTTTCAGTTTGGTTTTCAGCAGGCCAGTGAGCAGATCGGCATCTGGATATCCAGAAAATGTAAAGGTTTCCTCGGACAACGGAAGAACAAAGTTTCTCCTTCTCTACACCTTCAACATCAGGGCTGGGAAAATAAGGCATAGTAAAAAGAAACCCGATGCTGTAACAACCTGTACTCCCCTCCATACATCACTCACCACGGTTCATAACGCACTCCTTTTCATCCACATGTAAAGGAGCATTGCCAGTCTTTGTACAGGCAGGAAGATCTCCAAGACCTCCGTAAACAGGTTCCAATTCCCCAAACTCAGCACATAGCTCAGCCTACAACACGATAGCCTATCCACCCATGTAAGAAACACTGCAGCACTGTCCTGATCTCCAAAATTCCCTCCTCCTCTGAAACCAGAGTGGCTCTCACTCTGAAAAATGCTTTGGGGGAATTTTTTGGACAGAGTATCAGGGAAGCCAGCATCTACAGCAGAGTGTGCTCAGCAGACAGCCTACTGCTGAGCACCACAGTAGCCC